CAAATCAGCGTTTTTGTGATGCGTTTTTGTAAGGCAAGGAAAAAATTTCCAACAACTGGGATTGAACTGACGCCGCCAACAATTAGCAGTGGAGGACAATTTTACTGATGGTGTTTGAGGGCAAATGGAGCTGTTTGGTTTAGCTTCACTTTCAAACAGTAGTAGGAAAAAAAAGGAGAGAGCTTAGAGAAAAGTGAGTCAAAACAGAGGACTTTACGGTAAGATATGAATATATATATCTGTAATTTGATTCCAGCTATTTGTTGTACTACTCAGGGGTGGGAGTTTCTAATGCAGCTGCATTTATGTGAGTAATGCAAGACAAAAATTTACTTTGGTTTGGTGTGAGGGCATGAACTAACACAGTGTGGGTTTACCCTCGTCTTTATTTATGTTTAAAAATACTGTCACTACATACATTCTCTTGGATTACTGAAAGCTGTATTGTTCGCTAACAAACCCGCTTCCATGTGTTAATGATGTAATTACAATTAAACACCTCCTAGTTGAAAATGTCCACTATTTGGGCCAATTCAAAAGACTAAACAGACACACACACACAAAAAGTTTGGACCGCACTGCTCTCCACTGCAGCATCCTGGCTTAGATTCCAAACTAATTTACCGGGTACAGCCCGCATATTAATGTTGGGAGCTTGCCTTCCAATCTACGTGTGCCTTCTCTGAATCCAGGGCACCTCGAGGGCAGAAAAAGCCTGGCTGATCTGTGTCAGTCACGACACTACTACAGCGACCATCGACAAAAGGTCTTGTGAGAATTTATTACAAGACGTGCCTGGGCAGTACGAACAAAATAACCCACATTTGAATACATGCCACAAATTATACACAATTTCAGTAAATGAAGTGACAGTGCGCCTTTGTTCCATGGATTTCCTTCAACTAGCGGAGAAGCCGAACGCCACTGCCACTACTATGGTCAGCACTGAGAAAGGAAGTTGTTGAAGCCGAGATTTCCTGCTTTCATTGCGGTTAAGAGCAAAAAATGTTTATAGTGGTTTCAGAAACTGACTCATGAAATGATTCAGAGTACATATTGCTTTTTGTCTGTGTTTTACCATGAAGCAGAGCTCATATGTCTTTTTTTTTTCCTGCTTTCATATAAGAACTGCAGACAAAGTCCAAGTGTCTAAGAAACACATCAATAACGAGCGGTTATGACACCGTGAATTCTAAATGCTTTTTTCCAGAACTAATAATTGAGATTGCCATATGGTAAGCATTACAAGACTGCAATATTAAAGTGGTACGACTTCAAAGGGTGAGAGAAGCTCAATCATTCGGTGCTTTATTTAAAACTACAAAGCCTCAGACTTGCCTTGTTCTTTTTGAATGAACAGACATCTGCTACTACTCTGGCAAAATGTAAGTAAACTTAAACACAGCCTTCCATAAGTAAGGAACGGGGGGGGACTGTGTTGCACTAAGGTGGCTGACAGGGCCAAAGTGCGTTCGGTAGCTGGCAGTCATTTTATGGCTGCAGTACTGAAGCAGATTTACTTAGATGACGTCAGTGGCTTTGAGCCAGCTTTTCCTTTTTGGTGGCACTCTCCGCTGGCCTCAGTGGGCCCTGCTCAAACTGCTGAGCAGCAGCGCATACTCTAAAATTCCCTTTCTAGACCAGGGTTTACCTCAGGGCACACACAGTCTGGAAGCCTGCAGGAGTATCCTCTTTTTAAAGGGTGTTTTGACCATGGAAAACGCTGATGTTTTGATGCGATTCAACTCCTGCCACACATCACATCTAATTACACAATTAATATCTCCGTGTCTAGATTCAATTACAGATCAGAGATCTTTTTCAAGCCTAGAATTTTCATAACAAAAAAAATAATAATAATAGTGTGTATTAGCATTTCAATTAAAAATACGGGACACATAATGTGATCGCATTCCCATGAGCATCTGCACAGCCACAAATAGAAAACGTGCCTCGTTGCACTGTTGTTTCTACATGTATCTCTTTTTCATCTGCACTTTATACGAATGGAAAAACAAACATACAAAACAAAAAAAAAAAACACAACACACCCAAGCATGAACGAGATCATGTAAAAGACAAAATTTATGTCTATGGATAATCTTTTTTTTTTTCCTTTTGATTTCCAAAACATGACCCTTTATCTCAACAACACACACACACACACACAAACGCACACACTAGTAAACAACAACTGCTGGAAGCCGTAGTCCATTTTATTTGCAAAAAATAACAAAAAAAAAATGCTTATTGTTATTACACTGTGTCAATGCCACTGAGGTACCAAATAACTATCACTATGAATTCAGGTTGGGACTACGTGACTACATGTGGGAGTGCCGAAACAGTGAACTGGTTCCAAACTGTCCATCCTTCAGAATCCCCCAGCCTTCGAGCTTATCAATGCCAAAGCCTTTTCTTTATCAAAATAAGCCATTGCAAAATGCCGACATCAAACTTGCGGACATGGCGCTTTTTCCCACACATGACTCACATGCAAGCTCTCTCTCTCTCTCTTTTTGTAAATCTTTTTCTAAACTGCATCGATACAATCTTCCACCTCTATCCGTGATCATTTGTAACCTAATGTATGATTATAGCTCTGTTTGCATTAGGACTCTAATAAAAGCTATTTATAAATCAGATGGCATCCAAGGAAGCTAAAAACAATGATGCTCTGTGGCTCAGAGTACACAGGAACTTCTCTCCAGCAGTCAATTAGCAGTGACTGTATCGTTTAATGTGCTATTAATCCAAACAGTCAGGAAGCATTTGAGATTATTCTCAAACTGAACTGATTATTGTAGTATCAGTGAGTAAAGGCAGACCCGGTGCTTCTTCTTTAGCGATGAGGGCCTTTCTGTTAGGCATCACTCTCGTAACCTTGCAGGCTGGATCACCACAGGTAACTGCAGTTATAGCTGAAGTACAAGTGTCATGAGTAATTACGGTCATATTCTGTCACTATCAAGGCTTCATGGGAGACTGTGTATATGCATGACACCAGGCTCAGCTAGACCATTCATCAGCAACAGGAAAAATTAAATTTTTGAATTCATATATACGTCATAGTTTCTTGTAGACTGATGATGTGACAAGTGCTCAGCCAAAATTCAGCTCTCTGAAGGTCAACAGAAGAAAAGAAGAGACTCACTTTGCTCCAGAAGTAACCCTGTCCACTGTGCTTGACAAAAGCACATTATTCTGTCCTCACTTCACAGCAAATAGACCACACTCTCTCCAGTCCTACCCTCTGACCTCAATAAGGCAGCGGAGAGGAACAAAGACAGTATAGCCAAACAACACTACTCTCATTAGGATAATTATCCGCATCTGCTTAAATTTCACCTTAATATGAGCCACACAATCCTTACATGCTTCCTGGGCTAACTCCAAATGTTTAAAAGTATAGACTGATGCTGATGCACTGAAAAACCTGGCTGTGTGCTGCAGTCTAGCGATCAACAGGTACTGCTTTCTCAGCACTGTGGTGGTTCAAAGCAAAAAGGGAGTTTAAAACCTGCCAGTTTCAGATGTAAAGCTTCGTTGGGTCAAACAAAGACAACATCCTATTCTTGCACAAATGTTATGCAGGCTTCCGTCCAACAGGTCCACTGGTTGCATAAGCTGAAAACAAAGCATCTTTTTCAATCCCAGATTTTTTTTTCTTTCTTCTAAGCAAGCAGATTTATACTGTGACGTGTGTGTGTGTGTGTGTGTGTGTTACACCTCACTGCATTTAAACTGTTTCCATTAAATTATAGCAGCCCTTTCAGATGAATTTAATAAATAACCGTCTCTTTTTTCCGTATGTTTTCGGCGCTTTATTTGCAAAAAGTTACACTGAGTTTGCTGTGAGAAAATGCTTGTTTTACATTGCGAAAAGCAGAGTGCATGTGCTATAACCAGCTGCTTTCACATTAAATAGTGGAAAAGGTGGAAAGAGGTGGGAGGCTGTAAGTGCTTCAGCCAGAAACTTGTAGTAGTAGTAGTAGTAGTAGTAGCAGTAGTGATGGAAAGTGGATTTTGTTCAACAAGCTATTTTTAAAGCTTTGGCAAGTTTTTTTCACCCATTTTCTCAGTTGTCACCTCTCCTGCAAAGCTTACAATAATACAAATCAGCTACTTTGACGAAATTAGCTTTTTCAGGAGGCAATTGCTTTGTTATTTTCCTAAAGCTGGTTATAAAATACTACTGAAGCCAAGTGATGTCAAGAGAAGTGAGACACAAAAAGGGCTGGAGATCTCACGAGAGAATAAATTAGAAATTTCTGCAAAATTATTACAGTAGAAGCACCTTCACTGACTCGTGTCAACACTATCAGAGTTGTGTCAACTGTGGTCTGACGACCCGTTTGTGCAAAGCAAAGCCAACCATCTGAAGCAGCAAATACTGAGTAGACAACAAAGTGGAAACAAATCAAAGTATTTTAGTGCAACTTGAACCTAAGATAATGAAAGCTTTGATCTAATTCTCATCGCTCTCTCTGTATAAGGGCCATGTTTCCATCAAGGGAAGTCCAGAAAAAGTTAAGTGGATGAAATCATTGTAAGGAGTAAAACTCCTCCAGCTGGCCTGCAGTTTTAGCTGAGCAGGCATTTCCCAAATTAAAGGAAGGGAAGGGACAACAATAAAGGAAACCCCATAAATGTACACAAACTCCAGCTGCTAATTCAAGATCCTTTTTAAAGACAATTTTCATTATTAAAAGCGACCTTTTAAGGCTATTTTAAACCACAGAAAAGCGCTCAAGTGACCAAAAAAACTACATATTATTACAGATTATTTTCAGCTTGGTAGTTTTGGAGGCATAAGTTAGCCCTGGGGCTCTCCAGAGGAGCTTTAATGAAGCCCTCAAAATGAAACAATAAAAGGAGTTTGGGTTAATCTTTCCCCTCCGGTTCAGCAATCGGTTTCCTCGGATAAAGTGACAACATGGAGAGCACCACACCAACAAACCTTTAAAAATAAAAATAAAAAATAACATAAAAATACTTACACAAAACTTAGATGACGATTCGAAAAAGCACCGTCAAACGCGTTGAAGCAACAAGTCTCGCCACAGTGTTTTCTTCTTCGAGGTGGTCCGAAAATGCTCCGGTGAAATCTCCAACAACTCCCGGCTGAGCCAACTACGGAGAGGAAAACAGCAACGTTTTCAACCGTCATCTTGTCCAAAAACTGTTATTCGTGCAATGTGTTTTTAGTTCATCCCGAATCCCACTGCGAGTTTCTGACAATCTGACACGGGGGCAAACGGCTTCCGAGGCTTTTATAGGGGCGTATGACCAGGCTTCTTTTCAAAAAATGTGAAAAATGTCAAAGATTTTCGCTGCTGTGTCAAAGCCATAGGCTACAACAGTGAGTGTTCAAAGTGAGCACCCTGTTGCAACAGCGGCCATCTATCTCCGCGAAGGAAACAAGCGACCTAACGTTACTTCACGCTGTGGGATAAATATTAAACAACTAAATAAAGCCAACATTTTTAATACACTGTGCAGCATTTCCAAAAAAGAGAAAGAAATACGTAAACTAACCCACCCCCCTCCTCCCCAAATGAACTGAAGTCTACAACCCACTTTGAATGCCTGTAACTACCATTGAAACTTACCTCGTAATTGATATCTCATATAAAAATGCCCCTTTCTTTTGGTAATGTAATGTTACTGGGTATTTTGAATACTATGTCAAGTTATTCTGATGTTTCTGGGCCAGCCAGGAAGGTGTAGGTGAATCGCTTCGCGCACTGACAGAGATGCGAAGAATGCTCGGAATGAGAAGAGGAATGAAATGAACGCAGGGAGCGAGTTTGCGCCGGGGCGGAGCGAGAGGTGGCGTCATCCCGAGCCCAGCAGCCAGCCTGGGCAGCAGGCAGCAGCAGCGGGGACAGGGAGGGCACTGAACATCCCAGCAGAGGGGAGCTGACGCCTTCAGGGACGCGAGGAAAATCCGATTTCACAGTTTCGCAACCCACTTGTCACACAGTTTCAGACCTCAGGCATGTCATGCTTAAGCCTAAATGATATTCAACAGGTAATCTTAAAAGGCAAAAATGGTTTGCGGCTGTATAGTCTTTACAGTGCTGTGCAAAAGTCTTGAGCCACCTGTCATTTCTTCATTTCTCCCAAGGAGCCAGACTTTCTTGTAATTTTTAATGTGGTATTGCGCAATAGCTCTTCAGGCTTTCTGGAGGTTTTGTGCAGTCTTTTTTTGGGATTTCCAGTTTCAGTCTAGTAGTTGTACCTGGCCATTTCAGAGGAATGTTTATTTGTAAGCCACCCAATACTCCGCTGTAAATTATTCGAGCATGAAAAAGGCGACTAATTCAAGGGAGATTCAGGGTTGTGTCTACACATAACAGACAACTTAGAAATAGAAAAATAAATCCAGCAAAGACCTGACACAAGGCTCTTTAGTTTTCCAAAGCCTCATCAAGAAGGTCTCAATCAAAGTGTGGCTTTCAAGAAGCCAATTTCTGAGGAAGAGAAATGACGAGAAAAGGCTGAGGTATGCCAAATTACACAAGAACTGGCCCGAAAGTCAGGGGCCACAGGCCTCATGGAGTGATGAATCCACATTTGAAATGTTTGGTTCAAATCTGAGGAAGTCAGAAGAGAGGTATACAAGTGAGTGGCTACAGCCATCTGTAACACACAGCGGAGGAGAATGTCCTTCAAGGAGATTGGAGAACTATGACTGACGACTACTTGAAGAAATTACAAGAACGCTTGCCTAAGAGGGTTCACGCTGTGTTGAAGATAAAAGTGGTCATACCAAATATTTACTTTCAAGTAAACAGTACAAACTCTTTTCTTGACCTACATATTTCCATGTGTGTTTCCATACATATGTTAATAAAAGGCAGTATAAGGCTAGCAACACATAAAGAAACGAGGGATTTCACTATCTAATCTGTTTCTGTGATATTGTGACATATCATACACAGAACCAATACAAAAAGTTAAAGTCAGCTTTATTGTTATTTCTGCCATATGTACAGGACATATACAGAAAAACATTGTTCACCCGGCCCATAGTGTGCAAACAAATACAAGCATTAACAATAAATAAAAGAAAGAAAAACATTAGCTATACAAGAATTATGTATATTGCCGCAGTCTGTGTACATTACAGTGCCTTTCAGTGAAACAGTAGACAGTGAAAGGATTCAGTGGTTTAGTTATAATGCAGGGGACATTCAGCTGCCACTGACACAGACACTGCAAACAATTAGAAAGCTGTTCTGTGTGGACACATTTATCCTTTAATAAAGAAAATCTATCCTGATGGGGTGTCATCTCTTTTCCATCTAGGCCCCACAATGGGTCACTGACAGCTGCGGATCTAGAAAATTTTACATGTGGGGGGGTCTGAGGCAAGAGGGCAACTGCCCCCCTTGCCCACCTGTAGATCCATCCCTGGTCACTGTATAATTTAAGCTTGAAATTTATACAATCGCTCCCACACCTTAATTTGACTCTTCATGTAGATTTTTTTATTAATTTATCAAGCACCTGTGTTGGAAATGTGATGAATGATATCAACAAATTTATTTCAAATATAAACAGTCAGTGCAAAATGCCTAATAACACACGTGGAAATTACCACTGACACTTTCTGACATGCAATGATTGACAGTTCAGCATCAACCATGTGGTGTGTCTGTTCAACAGCAATATAGAAACATGGGGCGGGAGGCATATATTATTACCCAGAATGAAAATCCTGGTGCTTTTGGATCATGGTGGAAAAATAAGTAAATGAATAAAAATGCAATATAAGGAAACATGTTAAATAAACTGCAATTTCATATAATAAAATTTAAAATTCTTATATGCACTTGCACGTAGTACTTTTATGTGGCTGACTGCTGCGTCTCCCTTAGATTTCCATGATTCTCTCAAGCACCATTTCTGCAATATTAGAAAATAACTACAACAGAGCCACCGTTGTGTGACAAATAGTGGGCATTTACCTTTACCTAAATGCTTTTCTAACAAGGGACATTTATGGTTGCTACACAGACACCACTGTTTTATGTTGTTCCAGCTCACATACAGTATATCCTTGATCCTTGATACAACACTTAGACGTTATTGCTTTAAACAGCATATCTTTGTCACTACTGTGCTGCAGATAGTGTGTGGTTGATGCAGACTGGATCTAGAGAAACATTTATAGTATTAATGCGGTTAAATGCCCTCCTCCAAATCAGCCATTGCTAATTCTTTGAAATGCATTATTTTGTGTATTTCCCCCTCCCTTAATAGCCTGTCTCTTGGATTATTGGACATTGTTACACCTTTATGTTATCTGTACTGTTTAAGAGGAGCTATTCAGAGGTTATTAACACCATTCACAATATAATACAACCGAAAAACATTAGACTTATTTTCAGACAACAGCTGTTATCAATATACAAATCCAGTGTGTTTGCTACAAACCACCACTTAAGCTAAGATTTATGCATTTCCAGACATGTTATATGCTCAAACTATAGGCACATTTTTCGAAGGTGGAGTCGGCCAGATTTACAAGCGACTGCAAACAGTTATAGATAGAAAACAGGGTGAGAGACACCAGCATGGACATGTCTGAACAAGTCATCCATTAGGAGCTAGCGTTCTGACACCAGTCCTTCAAAAGAAAGGGATCTATGAAGATGAATGACTGCTGCTCTGAGGACATCCATCAACACCTTTTAACATCTGTCTGTGCACGTTTAGCAGAGAGAGAGATACAGTGAGGTGAATGATTTGAAAGGGGGCTTTATACCTTGTCGTTTTTCTATGCTTTTTTTTTCTTTTTACAGCTGACCTTTGTATTTCATAATCTGTTGCACTTCACGCATCACACTTGGAATAGCCTAGCTTTAGCCACATTCAAAGCAGTTGTTATTAAATCAGCCACAACAAGGACCTCCGGAAATTATGAATCATCAAAAGACAGGCGTGTCTAAGAAGTGGCTAGTCAAATTTTTTAAAAAAACAGCAGCATGTAACTTCAGGAGCTCATAAGATGCAGCTGGTATTGTTCAGAAGCAGCATTTTAAACATGACCCCAAAGGAATATATGAATTCCTGAGGTTTTCACCTCTGTATTTACAGTACAGTTGTACAATTCTTTCATTGACACGTGATGTGAAGGTAAAAAAAAACAAAACAACGTTTGTTTACTCCAAAGCACTAGTTCATTCACAAGTCCCACCAAATTATTTATGCACCACACTGCCAGTCAGAGGTTGTGTAACAGGGTGTGGCCTCGTGAGCGTGCCATACAGGTGGCAAATAAGACAAGGCAGATAAACGTGTCAACAGGTGATGAAAGAGTTAAGTAACATGTTCAATTTATGTTTCACTTAGAGATGGCTGTGCAAAGTCCTTGCCAGTGTAAATACACAAAACACATCTGTCAGCTTTAACTCTTTAAGAGCAAAACTGTTGTGTCCCATTTGTTATCTTTTTTTAATCACGCCAAGATCCTTTGTAGAATTCTATAATCTACTGTATTTAGTAATTATTAGTCTGGCTTTTTAAATTTTAAAAAGTGTTTTGATAATAAATACAACCAACAAAAGTAAGATTTATTCCCTCTTTCCTTTTTTGTGTCCCAATTCAGAGGTCATATCTGACAGCTGTATGGCCCAAATAACCTTTTACTCTTTGGACTCTGTTGAGCTCCTCACAACAGGACCTATGGATTTACTTTACTTTTGTTTTTGTTATAGCACATATTTTCAAACAGCCAGGTTAACGGGGCATTTTTATTCCCAAATAGGAACAGAAATGGGTTAATGGGACTCATGGGTGTCATGAACATGCTTGCATTCAGGACTGCATTAAGACTGTAAAAACAAACACTTTCTGTCTGTACAACATGCCTCTGTTTTGAGGCCTTTCTGTACTGATTTGATTGCCAGTGAAGAGCAGTGTTCCTTACTATAAATAACTAATGAGCATCATGGATCCAACACCAGATCATGAATTAGCCTGGTGCTTTCTTTAGAAGTGATGGCTTGCAGGATGTGTCTCTTCGTGTTTTTCCATTTGTAGTGATTACACTGTTGATCATTTAAATAATAATTAATCCGCAGTAATGTTAAGATGCTGCCTCCAAATGTGCACAATGTCTGCATGTAGCATATGTGTCATTGTTAACTTGTAGGCCGCAACAAAGGACAGAGTCACGCCACTAATTGAATAAGGATTACTAAGGGTTTATTATGATGATCGTGATGTGTGTAAGACCGTGTCAGTGGTGTAAAGCGGTGCATGGATGAGTTGGCAAATATGTGGGATATGATAGTTAGTGGAAGTTAGTGGCATACCAATAGTGGAAAAATAAATCTTTAGGCTTTTCATGTATTTTAAACTGGATTTTGTTGTGTTTTCATAGACTTGGAATCTAAACTGTCTCTAAAGCACAGTGGGTCACGTTCTGATATTTAAATGTGCTGAAGGCTGTAAAGAAAATAGATGTTACAGTCATTACAAAAACGTTCACGTTTTTCATAGTGCATATTGGAGGTATATTTTTTTCATTTAACACAGTTCGGTGGGCTGCATCCTAAAGTTCAAGGCTACAAACAAAGTATCCTATTGCGCTATTATTGATCATGCATTTGTATCGGTACTATACGATATTTTGATCAGTCTGTCTCTAATAATAACCTCAAATGAAACAGACCAAATGGGGGTGCTGTGGCATTGAGGTGGTGCAGAAATGGTCACAGGAAAAAGGCCTCAGAAGGTGTGGTTGAAATAGAAATGCAGAACACTTGCCTGGTGTCCTGC